ACACACGGAGTTGTACCTGCTCTGGTTCTGCGGGCTCTTCACTGGAGAGTATTCGATTACCACGAGAAACGATTTTGAAACTCGACCACATGCGCCAAGTCGCATTACCTGAGTGTGCCGAATTCGAGTCAGAACTTCAGACGCGGCGCAAGGGAAGGCACAATGGACTGGACTTTGTCTGTTTTTACCGTGCGTGTACAGACGCGCCTTCAAGCGTGCCCTGCGTCTTGTCCATCCCCTTCCTTTGTCCTAATGTCCCCCATTTGTACAGGCCCGGACACGTCTGATAATGCAAACCTACCCCTCCCCACCCCAGCCAGAACAGCGCGTCCACGTTGAGTCACCCACTAAACCACCCTGTGTGTCTGGCTCTTGTAGCTAGACCCGATTGGAGCCGCTGGCTCAACAACATGCAACTTCCACAACAAGGATTGAATACTGATCTATTTCTGCGGCATGCACTTCAACTGATCCCGTTCTAATCCGTCAAACGTGGCATTTTAACTGGAGCGTGTGGCCAACAAACTCGGCCTACACCAGCAATCGCGTCGTCCTAATCACTAGCGCAAAACGCACGCAGATAACACTTAATGACACACCGCTTATCGCTACAGGGGTCCGTTAAATGCGCAATTTGGTGGCAGTAATTACCCCCACTGACCCACAACCCTGTGATGTGTTGTTAAGTGGAGTTGGACGGGGGCACAGCCGTTTACTCAGAGCGTTAGGAGGCATGGCAACCGCTAGCCAAGTTAGAGTGAATTGAATTCATACCACCTATAGTGTGTCTGTGTGCGTGTGTGGAGTGAAACCCGTTTAAAACATTCTACGAGATAACTATTGAATACACACACACACACACATCGATTTTTTATGTATTTTAGCTGGCCAGACGGCGCTAGCCTCTGCAACACCCTGTCCTTCGCACAAGCTTCCACTAACTTCAAAACAAACCAACGAAAAAACGACAAAAAAAACAACGAACAAAAAACTGCCTGTTTTAATTTGTATTTTGACGTATGCATGTATATTTAGAGGGGCATATACATACATGCATTCATATACACACACACGGAAATAGAGGAAGAGTGTACTTAGAGAGAAGGCCCTTTCAGACGTATCCAGCGGCCCTGAGCGAGCGCAATGCCATCTCCAGGGCTCCGTCGAAGGACTTGTGCAGGCCGAAGAAGAGGTTGGAGTGGACGAAAACGCAGTCCAGAAGGCCCACGGCTTTGCTCAGCTCCTCGGAGCGTTTTCCAGCCCACGCACTCACCAAGGGGACCCTAGAGAGAGAACCAGTGTGAACGATGCTCTTGAGGGGAGGGCGGGGGGCTGTGCAAGGCGTGTGTGTGCGTGTGTATCGGAAAGACAAACCTCAGGGAAAACGGGTCGTCCCGGGAGCGTGGAATGGCCGTGACTGCAAACTCCCCGCCCTCATTCCTCTCGCTAATGACGAACACAGGTCGGCCCTTGAAGTCCCTGGCCTCCGCCGACGCCTCCTCACTGACGCCCAAGATCTCCTTCTCGAGGTCGAAGAAGTGCGCCTTCCACGGACACACCGGGCGGTCGATTCGGAGGATGAGTCCACACGGGTGCACCGAGTGCCGGGCGAGCAGTGACTTCAGCACCACCTCCCGAGCCGGTAGCCAGGTGTCGGCGAGGCCGCGGACCCTCGACACAAACTCCTCCTCCACCATCTTGCAGGCCTTGTTGAAGCACTCCTGAGGAGCAACATAATCAATCAATCGAAAGGGACCTTCAATTTTTTTGTGTTGTTGAGGTTTACTGAATCAATTTTAGTGTATAAATGACTTGGTTATGGGGGGAGAGAGGGGGGGGCGAAAGTAGGCGCGAAATCTCATACCGTCTCGTTTTCGTCCGGTCTGTTCCAACAGGGGTTTAGGTGTGCCACTCGCGCGCTCAAACCAGTGTGAATAGAATACCTAAAAGACACAAGAATCAACAGCAGTTAGATGAGATCTAGCCGTCCACGAAACAAGACGATCCAGTGACGCGAGGGTGTGATTCGTGGTGTTGAGCACAAGTGAGGGGGGTGAAGCTTACGTGGGAGGTACAGGGGCGATCGGCACGCCATTATCGATTGCGTCCACCTCGCTGACGAAGGTGGAGTACACGGAGCGGAAGAGGACGGCCACTTCAGGCGCGTCGACGGATTTGAGGCCCGCGACCTCCGCGAGGACGCGTTTGCCGAAGTGGGCGTACACCAGACCGGCACTGCTTAGCTTCACTTCGGGCTGCAGACCCGGATGTAAGTCCCGCATGGTCTTGTTGAAGGATCTGAAGGCAGGAAGGGTGGGCAGTGTGTTTAGTCGAGAGAAGGGGACCACAAACAGTGTACTTAAATAATGACAGTAGAACATTTCAGAGCTCCTCAAATCACAAAAGGTGGTAAAACCCATCTGTCAGGCTGGCGGATTATCAGGACAAAATATTACGCCACAACACAGGGAAACGGTGCGTTAGTATAGGAAGGTGGAACAAGGCACTGGCAAAGACGACGTGCATGTAGAGCCTGAGAATGTCATGCTGAAATCTCTACTAGGGATGAGAACCTACGGCTGATGGTGGTCGTAGCGATGTCTCACTGGATCGAATTCAGAACCTACGTCTACGAGAATGTCGCATTCGTTGAGTTTGCCTGGGTCACGAGATCGCACCAACTCAGCGTCACGGTATTCGGGTAGTTGGCGAAGCATTGTAACTGCCAAGACTTCGTCACAGTGGAAGGTTCCATCGTGTGTTCCGATCTTAGTCATTTTGGGTGTAAAAAGACGATTGTATCTAGGGCTGTAGATAAAATAGTACATTTGGTTGATACCCAGATAATCAAACACCGTTCTATTCAATAAAATTACCATTTTAGATAGACAGAAAGGTCAGGTTCAAAAAGGATTAGGTAACGTGAACTCTATGTCTACTTGAACACTATTCAGGACACCAGATATAAAAAATTGAGTCCTGAATCGACCAATTAATGCTAAAACTCGTGTTTTAGAGGAAACAGATGTATTGGCAAAAGACACAACATGATAACCTATACGCGAGTAAAGACGACGACTAACCCTAGGCTTCAAACACGGGGACGGCAGTCCAATAAAGCCTTACACGACCATGGCGACATTTAATTAGCAGATTCTGCACTAGCTCCAAATGATACAATCACAAGCTAAATACGAGGCAAAAATATTGTAAAACTACCGAATAATGGTTGCACACGGATTGATTATTTCAGGTTGCACTCAATCGTACCAGTAGAATTAGGTTCCCTTGAAGCCGCTATTAATACAAACACGATTAACGAAGAGATTTACAATTATTGGTTGAAAATAATAACTAAACAGTGCTCACAAAGATTGGTTTGTCTTTATTCTTTCATATACCTCCCGCAAACGACAAAAAATTGATTTACACTACGGCGATTTATAATTGCTTTCTTGCGTTTACCACTCACTTGTACTCAAACATTTATGAAAAAATAAAGGTGGCAAAGGGGCGATTGTCGAGAGCAGTGCTACTTATTCGGGAAAAACTGTTAAAAAATTATAAACCCATTAGCTTACGATTTAAAAAAACGGCAAGACGAACTTATCGGACAAAAAAACCGCGCAAGAACCCTGTACACCAAATCCACAGCTTCCGAAATAAATACAAGCCTGATGTAAAAATGATTGGTCAAACACGACCTAAAGTAATAAAAATATATTTAAACAATGTCTTCGGTTTTACTGACATATTTTGTGCCAACTACTTTCTTGCTTTAAACAGATGTGATTTTTAAAGTTGTTTTCGAAATTTGTTACGGTTTAGTAGTTCTGCACCCACAAGAGATTACAGCAATAGTTCAAACACGAAATTGAGATCTAGAAAGCAATTCCAACATTAAGTTTTGGTTCAAAGATAACTTAAAATGCATCGTCTATATTCAGTCTTGCTGCAGTCATTTTCTGTCCTTTATCTGCTTTACACTTAATCCGGGTATTAAACATTTCACTGACTGAACGCCTTTCCCATGAAGGGTTTGAAGAGTTAAGAAAATTAATTAGTTTGTGAGCGTTCCAGAAAAGATTTTTTATTATTGTTATGTAATATGTCCGGCACTAAATACAAAATTCGTGACCAATGTGCTGTGACCAATAAAATCTGTACGCCAAACAAGATAAATAGTTGGCGAAATACCTGAAGAAACAAAAAACAACCAAATGTTACGTAGAAACATTGTAGTGTTTCTGCATAATACATTCATTTTTGTTATAAGAAACATTTATAAATTAAATGATTGCTATGCAAATTAGGCTGCAGGTTTTGATTATTTCCAACCAAAAATTTAACCTGCCGATACATCCGAGTACACACATCCCACATGTAAGAACAGCAGATCCTTGGTATTGGTCACCGTCGAATTTCCACAAATCAGTCGAATATCACCATCATTGCGTCTTCCAATTAACGTAGTAATTGACAGAATTGGGACAAACCAGAAATATGAACGAAATGACTCACAGATGAATGCATTGGCTTTGATATAAAGCGGTATTATAACAATTTCTGGGGCATATATATATAACGTTTCGAATACGTTTATCTTACGCAACAAATGCTTGAATGCCTTAGGGTTTCGCATCAACCAAATAAGACCAACGTTCATGGCACAACAAGATGTAGAAGTAGACCTAAACAACACTAGATTTTCTTAAACATAAATATTTGCGGAACCATCTTTCATTAGGGTCAAATCATCTTTCATACACGCAAAGTTTAGTACATACCTGTGCTCGTGCCAATTTTCTTAAAAATTAAAATTAGTATAAGGCCGTTAACAAACCTGAATTTACAAATGAGACATTAGGAAAAAAGGATGCTGTAACCTTTTCATGGCAGGTTTCAAAATCTTCACTTAACAGATAATAGGTATGAAATAAACTTAATTTCAACTTGTAAATATAAATGCCAAAGACATCCAAAATTTTTTTAGATTCAAAAGTGGGTGTATTTAAGTGATTTTTCATGTTGTAACTAATGTTGGGAGATGTGTCTGTCTTTTCTCTAATTTCATTTTATTTAATACAAAGTAAGCAAATTTTCCTTAGCCTTTATTTTTACCAACATTGTCTAGTTAATATCTTTTTATTATGCTTGAATGTCATGTGGGTGCAATTCATGGTAACAAATATGATGTGATTTGCATTTCATTATAGCATAAAAATAGCATTCCCGACATTTCGCAACTTTTAAACGCATTAAAAATTTGTTTGTTTATTGGTATACGATTTTGAATGTCATAGCTCTAACCTTTACTAAAATAACTTAAAATATGCCTTATCTACGCTTGGTTCTGTTTGATTCTAACGAACAAAGATGCAGATCATCAAGGTCACTGTTTACATTAGGTGTAGCGGAAATAGGCCTGCGATTCTCATACTGAGTTGGTAGGTTCTGTCCGAGCTGGCTCTTGCCATCGGTGTCTTCTCAAGTCAGTTTTACTTCTTCTTTCTCCTTGGAATCTTTTTAACATCGAAATTTGGTGTATTTACTGGGTTGTTTTACTCTGTAATCGTAGTGCAGCACTTGGTTACTGTCAAATTTTGTTCTTCTAATTATTTTGAAGCTTTGCAATGCTCCTTGATGTGAAGGACCACTTTTTGTCTCTTATTCCCTAATATCGGTGGATTTGTACTGGGTAATTATCTAGAATTTTTTTTAAATTTTTATGTGTCAAAAATTTGATTACTCTTTTCCATAATTGCAACTTTTCTTCACCCAGAATCTCTTACATTTAATTATGTCTAAATAAGTGCAAATTTTCGATATCCCACACGGAATTTCGCCTTAACTCCTTTAACAATTTTCCCACTGTTATCACCATGGAACGTAAGATGCTGCAGTGCTCAGCGCCCTTTACATTGCAATATTTTAGCGGTTTTGTTTGCGTTCCTGTATGGTATTTTCAGAACGCTTGATCAACTCTGATGCGTTTTCTGTACGTTTTGTTGTCTTTAGGTAAATATGCTGGCGGATAACCTGAAACCAGACTACTACCGCAGCATAGCGCGACCTCAGCCGATAGCCATTAGCGACTACCACCATCACTACCATCCACTCACTTCCTCATCATCGACGGCTTCAAGTGAGGAAGTTTACGACCGAAAAATTTCATCACAGGTCAATGGCTGCAGTCGCAAAACGAGCCCTCCCATTCTGCCGTCTCCACGTAGTCTGGCTACAAACATTTTTGCTCGCCAAGTCTCTCTCTCCTCCGGTAGCTTACTGGGTGATCTCAACGGGAAACCACTCTTCTACATGCCTGCGTTATCTGCAGACGTGGATCCCCTCCTGCCAGTTGGCGTCCAAACCACACCCACTTCCTCCCATTGCAGTAACAACGCCTCACCTACGTCCCCTGGCACTTCCACAAAGAACCTACTGGATTTGTTGGTCGTAAGCCTACCTAATATTTGGAATGTTTTTGGAATCAAGGGATTGAAAAGGCGTTAGAATTTGGCATAATAATCTGCTAGCACACATGTCCTGTTGTTCGTATGGATTGACTTGAAATATCGCACTCTAAATTGATGTATTATGATTTGGTTTTTTTTTTCAAACCTTGTTTTGCACCTAGACACTCTGTAGCTTTAATATTTCCGTTACACTAGGGTGATGTTTGTCGTGTACACAGCGCAACGAAACTGGCTTGCATTTTGCTTAACCTCTAGGATATCCCAGAGATTAGTTCTTCCAGTCGCCGCACTACTAGGACCAAACAGCGACGTTCACAGGCAAACAACAGCGCTCTTCCAGAATCACCGTCCCCGCTCTCCGACACCAAGATCGTCGAAAAGCCAAAGAAACGGTCGCGGCGGAAGCCACAGACGTTGGAGAAGCCTCCGTTGTCGCCGCCAGAAGTGTTTCCACCCACCGCTGAATCGCCAGCGCCATCGCCAACGCCGCCTGTTGAGCCTCAACCCCCTCCCGCGGAAGTCACTACGTCGGTCGCAGTTGCACTCTCTGTGCAAGAAGCCAACGGTGACGACGATGATGACGGGGGTTTCATTGCGGTTACAACTAAGAAGAGGAACAGACAAGTGCGCCCGTCGGCTAAACAGCAGCAGCAGCAACGCCATTCCCAACCGGTGTATCTTAACAGAGCTCCCCACTACCGTCCACCGCATCCGACAGCAAATTATCGCGTTGCTCGACTCCCTCCACAGCCGCCGCCGCCTCCGCCGCCTCCGCCACTACCACCACCACCACCTGTAACTAGGAAACAGCAACCTCTACCTCTTGTAAAAATTACTCCTCCTGCTTCAGACCAAGCAGTCGCGCCGCCTGCATCAGATGCGGCTACGTCTGTACAGCCTGACTCTTCCACGTCTACTTCAATCAGTTCTACGAGCAAGGCAGCTTCGTGTACACCAGCACAGTTGGTTTCACATCCAAAAGCTGACGCTGTGACGTCTACGTCGACGAAGATGGCAGTGTCTGCATCAGCACAATCAAGTGAGGCCGCTACATCTGCTACGTCTGACGCAGATACGTCTGCAACACCAAGGCAGCCAGCTTCACCTGCAGCAGCTGAGACCGACACAAAAACGTCTGCACCACCAGCGCAATCACTTGCGTCGCCAGCACTTAAAGCCGTCACGTCTACTTCAACGAATGCAGATACGTCTCCGCCAACTTCGCCTGCGGCAACTGAGGCAGTAACGTCCACAACAGGTAAAACACTTGCGGCACCAAAAACCACAGGTGTTAAGTCGGCAACTAGTAAAACACTTGCACCACCACCACTGCCGCCTGTCTCCCCCAAGCATGTCGTTCCAGAGAGTCTGGTTCGGCAGCACCCGCTGTTAGTCAATTTTATGATGAACACCTGGAACACCTTTGTAAAATCCCTAGATTCCTAGTTGCTGTGTAGATAAGTTTGCGCAAATTTTTAGCCCCGGTCGTAGCTAACTTCCAGCTCCCTGCTTTGTGCATGGAATTTTTCACGTGTATATATGTACAGGGGGCGTTGCCTCTCTTGACCCGAAATACCACCGTGTTGTCTTTCCTTTTCCTAACTTTTATTGGCCATTGGCCTCCCCCGTTCTGAGCCTCTATGCTTTCTCTTCCATCCTCCGCTCTCCTCGGTGCTAATAGTACGTGTTTTTCGTGGTGACAGTGGAGTTAGTTGGTTTTCAATTGACTTAGGTGTTACGGCATTGTTCCTCTGTGTGTGTGCGTGTGAAATACACGAAATGATGGTCGGTTGGAATTTTGTTTTTTTTTTATTTTTTAACTGAGCAAATGAGGACTGTCCAATCTTGTTTCCAAAATTATATCGGGTGATCTAGTTAGTGGGCTGCGCTGTTGCAGTGGCGGTCAATTTGTCATCCACGCGACGCCTTCAGGATTATTGATTTTTCCAGTTGAATGCCTTGAGGGAAGTCGGCCGTCGATGAGCGTGTGGAGGCTGAAGACAGACAATTTGGCGCAAGAGTTTGTAGACGCGTGCTCAGTTATAAGGTGATTAGCTTAACATGTAGGCATTAGCGGGGTCTCGCATGCTGAAATGTCAGAACGTGTCTCTCTTGTGATTTCATGACTAATTGTGTCTTCAAAGGGTGAGAGATGAGGGGGTAAATATCGATGCGGCGTGTTGAAAGGAATCTGGTTCCAATTTACAACGATAAGTTGTGGAGCAGTCCAACGTTACTTAAAACAGCTGAACGCAGTTCGACGAGAAGGGACGTTTTCTCTCATCCACTCAAAATTTAGGACAAAATTTTGCGTTCATCCGTCTTCAGGCTGGATAGAAGCCGCTAACAACTCGGATTGGTTTGAACAATGCCTTGTACACTCCTAGTTACCACGCCCTCTCTTTGTTGATAGATTCACGGCTCTTCCGAGGGCAGAGAGAGGGACCAGATGGTTTTGTAGTGGGAAGTGAGGAAGCATGTCAGAGTTTCAAAAATTTTCACAGGAGTGGAGTTGGTGACTGTCTGGAATCGAAGTTTCAGAGTGCAGAGCGTCTTAGTGTAGTTGTCGGTTGGCGTGGATACTTCCACTTTCGGAATATTTTTTACCAGGTCCTTCGTTATACACGGCCTTCAGGAGATATTGTGACGACACTGCTAAGACTGCTTAGAGTCGGACCAACGCCGGTACAACGATCTGAAGCCACGATATTCAAGAATTGAGGATTTTCAAGTATAGACCTTGGAATATAAAATTTCACGAAGTCTAAAATCCAGACCTTGGGTGTCTGAGTAAATCTTGTTTACTTAGGATCTTCTAGAGATCACTAAGCGCTTGTGCGTTCAAATTTAGCTTCTTTGGGGGTATCTACTAATCGATTTGTGGATCTAAGCCCGTTGTCCACATTTGAAGCGTGTGCTCGTCTGTATTGATTAGTGTACAAACCAATTACCTTAAACCCGTTTTAGCAAAACTCGCATGTAGAATGATGGTTTCATGGTATTAGGTTGTTCGTGAATTTGTTGAGATGATTAGATGGCCACGGCTGTCAAGACGAGGTTTGCGTGTTTATGAATGACGTTGTTAACGTGTTAACGTTGATCGATTCGGCCGACTCATGTCCTCACCCCCACCAACTCTCCCTTCACCCTCCCCTGACCGAATTTAAGCCTCCTCAGCATTGCTGCGAGAAAATTGGCGCATCGGTTGACGCGTTTCGAGGAGTCATCCTAATTACCGGGTTGACACGATTTCTCCAGACAGATCCTGGTTTCTGAGACGAGCGATAACACACACTTCCTATCACACGTAAAATCAATAACAACCTCTGCATGAGGAGGTTGCGGGAAAGGATGAACGCCACATTCGGTAGTAATCTCATTCATTATGCACGTAGCGCGTTTCGATTGTTCGCGGTCGCCGTTCATTTGAGGAAATGATTGTTTGGGTGTGATTCACTGGCTACGTCATCGATTTCCTCGAAAAGCAGGGCCTATAATGACCGGTCAAAATTTGTTTGTAACAACTTTGACTGTCCACATGATATCGCAGCTGCCGCTCCAACGTGCAACCTCCTGATTGGCTGGTTAAAGGTCTAGTGATTTGCAAATTGGGTGGAGACGGCCATGCACCGGCGGTCCGCCCATGGCGTCTCCTGTTGACCTGTTTCGCGGCTCGCCATGTATGCAAATTGCTACATCTCGTTTGTTTATTTACCACCATCCAAAACAAACATAATGAGATCTTGCGGGGATGCAAGCAATCAACTCTGTTGTCAATGGCATCCCTCGACAATGTAGGACGTTTCGAAAGCTCCTTTTGCACTCTACGGCAAGTGAAGCAAACTCTACTCTCGTGTACACGAAATTATTCATTTTTCGTGCTTCTATCTGACCTCAGTGTGACGCGATTGGACAGCTTTTTTTCTCCAAAAACAACTAAAAAGGCAGCTGTTTGACTGTCATTGCCATGGTTACACGCGAAAATGAGCGCTAAAAATAACGCACCACATCTCTGAGTCACTTTCCCACTAATAAATCAAGCTTAATATCGGTGCGTTACGTGCATTCCGGACAAAAACCACCCACTTTTAAAGGGGTTGAAATGTGTATCTTAAAACTGAATGAGTTTAATGCACTTCTTCCCCGTGTACGCAATTTTAACTGCAAGTTAATCCTCGTAATCAGCGTCAACTGTGTTATCCGGCTTAGTTACCGACGTTTGCCGGTGCACTCACCAAATTCTACATTGCTCGTGGATTAACATGGTAATCTGGCTTAAAGGCGTGGACGAATTACCGAGTAAAACGCACATCACATATCACCTGATTGTGATGAGTTAATGCTTTGTGAAGAGATTTGGACCAGCCCGCAGATTCTGAACAAGGCCAGACATGGTGGTAACACGCTGTTTTTGAGTTAGTATGTAAGCCAAATGTCATGTAAAACAACGAGAGTGGGCGAACGAGGCGCAGTAATATTGGATGAGTCAGAAGATGAAGCCCCACTACAATTGTTTTCCCGAGATCAGTAAATTATGTCAGCTGGCTTGCACCTGATTGGAGCATTCAGATGCCGCAAGGGCGATTCGAGGTCAGCTAAACCAATCACATGCGGTTTGGTACGGTTGTGTGAGTGAACAAGCCACTCAGGCAGAATTGACGTTAGTCCACTGAGCCAGGTGCTGTGTGCGGCTTTGTGGTCTAGGCACCACGTCGAGCGAATGCCAGCGTGCATGAATTCGGAGTAAATAGTCGGTATCTGCCAAGACGCACTGTCTGCCTGTCAGCTGACGCCGTGGGTGTGGTTGGTTCTAGCACAGACGTGCCTTAACTCTGATCTACACACTTCAGGTCGCAGTTTTAACCAAATTTCAGTTTGAGTGTGACGTGTGTTACTGACCGATTTGTAACATGACGCTAAATGCCTGAATTAACTCAGTTCACATTTGGTCGGTATCTGTGGTATGCGAAGTACAACAGGTTGTTAAAAAAAGTCACAGGTTTAAAAAACACACAAACCAAACATCCGATGCAGTGAATAATACGCTCTCTGCATCGCATCTGCCTGCAATAAATCCAGACTAGATAATGCTTGTTTTTAGAACAGGCTCGTGTTCCACTAAATTGCGCTCTTGTGGTTATGTAATGAATAAGCCACAAAAACTCATGCCTCATGGAAACTTAAAAACCTTTGCTCAGACGGATGATATGTCACGTATTTTGTTTCGATGAGCTAATAAAACAGCAAGCACGATGATTGCAATGGTGAGTTGAATTCAGTGCGCCAAATAACAACATCACGATCGATACTGCATGAATTGTAATAACGCAGAATCGATAAACAGATGTAACCAATCACCTTGCGTGCGTTTGGCACGATAGGCCTGTTTTTACGCAATTAAATAAAAATTCGGGGAAATTTGTGAGCAAATTACTGTCAGATTAACTTTTTTGTGTCAGTGACAATTTTTCAGTCCCAAATCTGCACAAGAAAGCTATCTAATTTCTAATGCTGCCGCCAAAACAGCAAGCATCATCTTGAGATTGTGAGCGACCACTTCTAATA